TATATTTGTATTATATCATTTTTATATTTATTATTATTTATATTTTGTATTATTATTTATTTATTATTATCATTTTTATTTTTATTTATCATTTTATATTATATTATTCATTATTTCATGAATTTAATATTCATTATGAAATCATTTATTAATTATTTCATTTTATAATGATATATTATTTAAATTATTTTGTTATATCATATTGATTATTCAATATTTAATGATAGAAATTAATGATATAAGATTAATATAATAGATATAAATAAAATGATGAATATTGAAACAATCATTTAAAATCAAAAATAAATAATATGAAATATGAAATATAATATAAATAATAAAGAATAAAGAAAGATAATAAAAGAAATAAATAATAAATATAAATCAAATGATAATAATAAAAACAAATAATAAATAAATGATAAATAAATAAGAATAATCAAAAATATATTAATAATAAAAATTAAATTTAAATCAAATCAAAATAATCAAAACAAGAAATGAAAATATGAATAAAATGAAAATAAATAAAATAAAAAATTAATAAATAAAGAAATAATAAGAATAAAGAAGAATAATAAGAAAGAAAAGAAATATAAATAATATTAATAATAAATTAAAATAAAATAAGAAATGAAAACATAATAATAAATAATAATAAAAATATGAAAGAATAAAGATAATAATAATATAAAATGATGATATTAAAGAAATTATTAAAATATAAAATAAATATAAAAGAAAACAATGAAATATAGAATAAATTCATTTTAATATAAATCATTTAAATAATTAAACAATAAAATTATTTTATAATATTGAAATATTTCATAAATATAATAAGAAAGAACAAATAAAAGAATATAGAAAAATAAATAAAAGAATAATAAATAATAAAATAAAATAATCAATATACTAAAAAGAAAAAAAAGATAATAAATAATATATATAAATAAAAATTATAAAAATAAAAATGAATAAAATAAATTGCATCAATAAAATAATGTTAAATAATTTGTATCAATAAATTAAACACTTTTTTTATTGCATATTTCTAATTTCTATAATA